TTCTGGTGAAGTTATATGAATCATAGTTATTCATTTTGACCTCATTATCTTGTTTTTTTTTCTTAATCTAGTATGATATATAATCAGCAACAACTGCATCGTATATAGACGAGATAACACACCAAATTTTTCACAACCTTGTTCTCGCCTCGCTGCTAAGCAAGGCAGTGTAACTGGCTAAGTTGTGAATATCTGTTATCCAATATTTGCTATATTATTCTTCTCTGGCATCATCTATAATAAATTTCTATCATACACCCATTATATGCATATGGATAGTTATATTTCTTCATAACTATTTCGTTCACAAATTCTCGTCATTCATAACTTTCTCTATTCTATACTGGAATCTATTATTTAAAAGTGTTACTCGTTTTTACAATGAAAAAATTCTATTTATTTTTAGTAATTTTTTTCTAATCAATAATACAATACAAAACACTTGATTCTAAAAACTAATACAAAGAATTCAAAACTTTAGGATTTATTTAGTCGACAATAAAAGTCTCGATAATGAATAAATCAATTACATTAATCTTTGCATCTTTCAATTTATGATGAAAATTGATGTTTGCCAATTGAAAACTATATTAGATATTGAAAAGATGGAGATGGATGTAAAGCTGTCAATATTGCTTATACTCTCTTATCTTTTATTCTAATTTGCTTTATTTGACTTTTTTCTTTCTTATTTCATCCATGCCAGCTGTTACATGGTCCCTAATGATTGGTATCTTTTTGCCATACGATCTGTTAAATGTTGTTATGTATAGAACGCTGACATTTCTATCAGCAATGTTTCTGTTTGTTTATCATTGATAAGATTTGCTTATAGTAATCACTCAATCAATTAGATGATGTTAACATGCTTTTTCAAGAATCATACGACTATAAATGAAACATCATCTAATTTGACATTGTAACTGTCAATCTGATTCGAAAAGTATTTTTTAGACAAGAAACATGAAAAAAAATATAAAATCATTACTTTACCTTCATTTATATTTATATCATTTGCATTAAATTGTATCGATCATAAACAACTCAAAAGGACTTATCATAGCTGCAATCAAAATTATGTCTACAGTGTGTATGTAGTTGGTTGTTTTTTTTTCATATTTTGACATGTCTAAAATCCGAATTGATTGTTATTTAGATAACTATATTTTAACTTGTTTTTTTTTCTTATATTTTATTATTTGCTTAAACTTTTACTGAATAAGATATCTGATATAGAATAGTTGATGTTATTTTTAATAACAAGAAAACCATGAAGAAGTTTTACTCTAGAGGTTGAATATAAATGAAATGAATTTCAACAAAACCGCTGTATTTTCATATGAGTATTGTATTTTATTGTTAATGATATGACATTAGACAGAATTTATATACATTAACTAAACTGTTTCGTAATACTTTTCTTCCGTATGGTATAGAATTGCATCTAAGAATAATTGCACTTAACAATATAATAACAAAAGTATGATTACATGTAATATATCATCAAAAAGAGCTAGTTAATAGAATTCTGAAATTTTCAGTAGGACATTGTTGAAGTTGTTTGAAAACAATTATTGAAAAATGTTTATTTGATATTTATAATTATGTGTTTCGAGAAAAAAAACTGTTTGACTACCGATGGAACAAAAATAGTATGATACTGTATGAAAGAGAAACATATGATGTCTCATAATTCGATTCAATAAATACATTTGTTTGAATAGAAAATGTGAATATTCTTTTTTGACTGATATTGAATTCCAGAAGAGTAATCATGATAGGTCTTCAAATCAACGTAGATGACGTTTTAATCGATATGATATATGTAGCAAACCAATTGGCTATAAGTATCAAATAGTGTTAAGAAAATTAATAGTCTTTTCCCCTGGCATGTAAAAAAAAAGGAGTTGAAAATATTTCATAATCAAAATGCGTTTAAGAAGCAACTTGTCTTGTTTAATTGTGTATGGTCTTTTTAAACCAAGAAAAAAAAGAAGTTTTTTTTTGATAATGAGCATTATTTAAAGCTTCATATGCCTTGGATTCATGGTCGTTTTATTCTTGGTATACTAATTTTCAATGTTATGAAATAATATCAACGAATGATTACTACTCTGTTTTTCCGTTTTCTTTTTCGATGATCATAATTATGGCTAGCAGTATTCATAATCGAACCGAACCTTGAATATAGACTATACGATTTATGTGACTGTCAATTGGCAAAAAAAAACGGGATGATGATTAGGTTGAGATACACGCCATCGTATATGAATTTTCTAGTGTTTTGGCAGTTCAAGGTTCAGATTTACTTGAATAGTGTCTATTGATAACGATTAACATCATTGGTTTTATCATCTTTTCAGAAGTGTATACTTTCTCTTATTTGACCTCCACTGTCGCCCTATATGCATTTATGTCCTCGTGGATCGATGGATACAGTAGTGATAAAAAAAACGAAGCGAAAATCGATTAATGGTTATACTTCTATAATGAAAGCCCACTAATATCAGCATTATTACGCATCGTTTTTCAATGCTCAAATCAAGTTACATTAATCAATCAGGTATATCCTCTATATGTAGCAATGTATTTTAAATTGATTCATACCACCTCCTACTTACTATGCGCATATGTATATGTATGCATACATACGTTTATATATGTATACGTTAATATTTACCTCTCCAATGTATGGTTCATCCTTCAACGCTCTTCTATAATCAACTAAGCAATATAATAAAATATCTATTTCATAGTAGGAAGAAGCAATCAATAAGAGAAGAGAAAACGAGAGAGAGAGAGAGAGAAAAAAAAAAACAAATAAAACTGATTGCCTGTGACGAAATTTCAGACGCTATCGGCTATCATTTTTCATCGGATGTTACAGGTACTGACTTAGGCAGATGATGTACACATCTTCATTCTCTTATTAATAAAAAAAAATCTAAAGACAATCATACATAGACAATGAATACTGCTGGCAATATTGAAGTAAGTATGAAAGTATTGACTGTCACTTACATATAAACATATATTATATAAGAGAAGGTAGGAGCAGCTATGGCTATTCTGTCTCACCATCTCTGTTTGAATGTGGTTTAAATCTTCGTCATCTCACTTCATACATATATTCCTACATGACTTGCCCCTTTCGGCTTAGATGACGATCATATGTTTTTTTTTGTGCATGAATGTATATGTATATGAGTACTTATGTATTATACAGAAGTAGAAGTATGGCGATGAAAATTGAGCGACTCGTTTGCCAGTAATGTCGACCTCGATATACTTATTATATGAGAACCGTTCGAGTAGAAAAAGGCAAGCAGACCAACACACAGAACGTTTATGTAACAATTGTTTCCTCTTTTGTTGTTGTTACTGTTGCTGGTCGATTTGAGCTTTCACTCGCTTGATTATAATGGTGAAACAAATAACAACGACAATACCTTGTTGCTTATGCTATTAAACAAACAGGTAAAGTGGGTCCTTTTAGTTGCATGTCTACGATAGCTTCGTTTTTTTTTTCTTTTTCTCTTTGTTGGACATTATGTCATGTATACGTGAGTGTCATTTTCTCTCTCACTCTCTTTCTTCTTTCTTACTTTGATTATAAAAAAATGGTCAGTTGCTGATAATATTTCTACGAATGGAATGTTGTTTTGAAAAAAATATGAGTAACGATCCAGTTACTCTATATCTCAGCAATGATGAGTATGTACTTGACAAATATTTCTATGCAATGAATTTCTCTTTTCTCTATCTCTACATACTAAGTATAGAATGTCCATATAAATATACATATCTATGACCTTCACTAATGTCTACTCTAATTTATTAGAAATGAAAAAGATAAGTAATTTTATGCTAAACTAGACACTGTTGATTTTTATTTCAAACGTACAGACTACTTTTCAAGATGTATGAAGAGCTTAGACAGATAGGTAGACAGCTGCGTGTACTGTTTCTTCAATCATATTATGCTTAATCTATTCATAATGCATAATAAGACTCTGTTTGTAAATGAGTATATAGTATTAAAAATAATAAGTTGTTCATACGTGGGTGATATTGAACATTAGAAAAAAATAAATAATGAAAGAAAGATACTACTAATGCTTCATTCCTCTCGGACTAAACATAAGTAGAATGATCATCGATTAACTGAAACCGATCAAATTAAGATTAATAGTGATTATATAAAATACATTTGAGATAAACAGAAAAAAATTAATGTATGAATTGCTCTCATTTTTTTTTGCGGTGTTGTCCGCCACCGAGTGCCTATTTTGATAATGTTACACGAAACCAGAATAACAACGTGAGGATGATATCAATATCATCACTAGTGCCATCGTTGTCGTCGCAAATAGATGACGACGATCATGAGAATAATGAAGATGAATGTATCCAGCTAAAGAGAAACAAGCAAAAAAAATAACCGATAGAAAAAGACGAATGCTTGATATATTCATTTTATGTAGACGATATGTCTACAAGAACCGTATTCTTATATTTTACGTTATTAATCGAGATCAATATCTCACTATCTATTATTATTAATTATCGACAAAAGACAATATAAATTGTCTTTTTTTTTTTAATATCTATTGTAATTGGAAAAAACAAATCCCAAAAAAGATATTTCATTTCGGAAATCTTTTTTTTAACAAAACACATTATCTTTTGTTAATCAGGTAGATACATCGTTTTTATTAGCTTATTTCGGTCTTTTTCTTTTGTTGTTATTCTTATCGTTTTTTTTCTAACGTTGTCACATCAGTCATTAGTTGCCCTATTTTGCTTGTCTCTTTGTTTATTTATCAATGTACAGGTATGTTCTAGCTAATTATACACATCTAGAATGATTACGATGGCTTACTCCTCTTGTTTCGATATACTAGAACGAAAAAAAAGAAAGAAAATTATAATTAATTTTTTTTTCTTTTATAGTTTTTTTTTTTTGTCATTTGGATTTATAAATATTGAACAATAACAGAATGCGATTCTCAAAAACTAAATCTGATAATACAACATTATTAATTAATGAACATGAGACAACAACGTCTCCAATATCATCAGTGTCGCATAGAAATCATCATTCGTCTATTCAATGTCATACCTTACTAGAAGAGCATATGCCAGATTCTAAAGATAAATCATTACCATCTTCAGAATATATTTATACTGAAATTGTTAAAGCAATTGGAAATAATGAATTTATTGAAGAAAAACGTTTACTTAAACGAGCTAGTTGGAGTCCAGGTGTCCCTCAAGAACATGGTTTACCACCAACTGGAAAACGTACAGACAATGAACAATTAACAACAAATAGAAATTCTAATCGAGTACGCATAAGACCAAAAGTAGCCAGATATTTTCAACCACAACAAAATTCACACTATCATCAAATATCTTATGGAAGACCTGCTTCATTTAATGAAGGATTCAATCGTCATTCAGTTGATCCTCAATCAAGAAAACTTGCAAATTCATTTTTAGTAAGTTATCTAATACAACACAAATTCACCCATATCTGTTTGTTGTTCAAACAAACATAGAATTCGAGCTTTTTTATTTGCATTGTTTTTGAATGAGCGCATTGCCAAAAATGTTCTTACAACTTTTGTCCTCATTCAACGTATCTCTTGCATGAAATCTATTTGTTTCTCTGCAATAGATTACATTTGAAATTATATAATGATAGAAACCGGAAGTGTTTTTATTACTCTATAAAATGGGTATGATAAATTATGGTTTGATCCACTTTATGATCGAAACATTTTACAATCTCTTCATTGATTTAAAAACTAGATCATCTAACTTGAGCAATACTGTTTAGATATTGAAAGAATGAATTTTCTTCCTTTTTTTTTAATGTGAAACACATTTCCTGAAACAGTATGTCATTTTCTACGAAGTCAAATCAATTTTAAGCCCTCAATAATGAATTTCTTCTCAATGTCTTATCTTTCCTATATAAAACAATGCTTTTTTTTAATGAAAACTAAGCCGTATAGTATGCTTCATTTACTTTTGAAGAATTATTGAGAAACTTCCTAAAGTATAAGCGTGAATAAAATTTAAAAAAGACTATTTTGTTATCTAGTTAATTTTCCAGAAAACATTTTTCTTCGAATTCGAAAAAGAAATATAAAGAAAACGATATGTTGCAAGAGATCTTTGGACAATGTTTGACATCAAACTTTTTTCACTCACAACTTGTTCCAGAAAATTAGTTTTCTCATATCTTTTTGAAAGTCGACTTTTGCTCTGTCAACAGAAAATAAGCATAAGTTTTTCTGCTATTTCCCTATGTAAAGAACCATTGGTCGAGATTTTGCCAATTATTTTTGTATCGTAGAACTTTCCAAGTAAATATTATATCAATATTATTGAAACATATCTGCTATTGACATCAATTTTTTATAAACATATAATTTAGGCAAAGCTAAATATAGTACTTTTTCTCAATAAAAGACTATTCACGAATCATTTTAACACGGTTTTGAATCATCCAGATGTTTGTATTCTAGAAAGAACGATTTATTAATAATTTGTTTTTTTTTGCTTGCTTTAATAGAAACATAATGATAGTTTTTCATATCAACAGCGTGAATCCTCACCTTCTCTCTCATCATCTTCAGTTGATGCACTAGTACATGTTACAGGATGTACATCACCTTCATATGACAATAGTGATTTTATGAGTGATACATCAACTGCATCATCAATAACAACGGCAAATACACTAACATCTTTATCTTCAATCATTCCTTCTCATATATCACGACGAACAAGTCCTAATAGCGAACGTATTCATCCATCAATAAAACGTCCATTATTAAATGAATATCAACAACAAAATTTAACACCTATTGATTACAAATTTTCCTCACCAGCTATTACTGTTCGTTCAATATCTCCAATTTCCTTACCTCCATCTATTTCTACTTCTATAACTTCTTATGCTCAATCAAAAGGTCATGAACAGTCATTGTCGTCTGCCAAAGGGTCATCACTAAATCAATGTACAGAGTTTACTTCACAAACATTAACTGCTGATACATCTCGAGACAACATTGGTCCTTCAACCACAATAACGACACGTAGTATAATGACTATGTCAATGTCACCTAATCGCCATCATAATCAAACGCGTTCGGCAAAGGCTATCATCACATCATCTCAAATATCGCCATCACCAAACGTCACAATCATGACAAACAATAGCGATGGATTAAAACAGCAACAGCAACGAGATCAAACAGAATCGTAAGTGAATTTCACATCAGTCTGTCTATGTTTACTTTTCCTCTCATAAAATACCAATCAAAAACTGGTTGACAAGTGATTGTCAGTTCATTTTCTACTTTTTTCTTCTCTTTGTTATTTTTTCATTCTATTGAATTACTTCTATGTATGTATGTATATATATATATATATATATATATATATAGGACGATGGTTTGTAATAATGGTTGTTTAAAATCACCGACAAATACAAATAATAATAATCGTATGAAAAAATCTGTTCATTTTGACTGGCATTTGCCTAAAGAAATTCGGTCACGTTCACCATCACCGGTCAATATAGATTCTAGTAGTAATTACCAACAGACTGTTGCAATTGCATCTTCATCTTCTTTGTCCAATGGTAATGGTAATAGTGGCGACAATGACGAACAAAAGAAACTATGCGATGATCAACGTGATGTCGAGACATTGAGAGAAAAAGAAAGAATTGAAACAACGAGGAGGACAATCACTACTAACCCGCTGACCACTACCACCAACACAAACACAATTCTTCATTCTTTTTCTCTTTCTCCATCACCGCTATCGAAAGAAGAGGGTAACGATAGTCGACCATATAGAGAAGAGAAAAAAGAAAATGTCGACGAGCCAAACTGCATTACTTCTCAACGAGTAACAACTGCTGCTACTCACCTTCATTGCACTACTACTACTGCTACAGTCACTTTCAATGACGGTAGCAACAACGTCTTGCAAAAAAAAGAATCGAATGGCACGAACAATTCTAATAAAAGTACGAATGACCTCTCTTCTTTCTCTTTTTAATCAATCATTGAGACGGTTTCTTTTTTTTTTTTTGTTTTATTCAAAGATTTATTAAAACGACAATCACCATCAGTTGATAAACCTATGCCATTGAATAGTTTACTTGTAAAAACATCTTCACTTAATACAATTATTAATCCACAAATCCCACAACAATCATCATCAGCAACATCAACAGCTAAAAAATTAATTAGTAATGGTTTTTTTAATTTTATTGGTCGTTCAAATAGCAGTAATAACAAGTCATCAACATCGACCGAAGAAAATAAACAATTACGACGTACATCGTCCACTCAACTACGTGCTCAACGAAAGACTAAACAACAGACGACATTAACAACAGGGACAAACGGAAATAAACGTCTTAGTGCGGATGTCGAATCTCTTCTTCCTGTATCTTCAATCAATAGCAATCATTGTGAAATATCGAATGAAGATGATCATATATTTGACAAGGTTACAACAAATAATAATAATAATATTAATAGCGAACGACAATCATCGATTTCTCTTGTTTCAACATTGGTAGACAAGAGTATGAATGGTACTAGTTCTTCTAACATCGGTAAGTATACGAGCCAAGGTCAATATGAGACTTTACCATGATGACATGTTCGTATGTAAAGGAGTAGGTGGAGTGTGTATTTCAAGGCTCTTTTATTTTTTTTTTCTCTTCATCTCTTTCTTATAATATTCTCATTTAGAATCATCTATCCCACTGTGTACAAACACTAACATCAATAATAGTTCATTATCAATGTCAACGAGTTCTACGACGACAATTATGAAGTCGGATGAAGGTGATTCATTAAATAATGGACTTCTTTTTCGACCTGTAACTGATCCCAAGTGTGATTATGTTTTACATGATCATCAAACAATAAAAAAAGAACCTTTCTTTTTATCACCACCAAAATCATTGTCTAATGGTGATGAATCTACTATGATGCAAACATCGACACTTATTATTTCGACACCACCACAATACCATTATTATTTGTATCCCCCAGCTGATAATACAAATACATTGTCATCATCATCATCATCATCATCGTCATCATCATCAATATTATCGAAAAAAAATTCGAAATTAATTTCAACAACAAATCGTACGGTATCCAATGTTAGTATCAATAGTGTTAGTACAAGTTCATCTTCATCATATCGATCATATGAATCTCAAATGCATGATAATGAATATCCACAATCAAGTTATACAGCTCTTAATGCTGAAGATGAAACTGCATCTAATTCAACTTATTCAATTACAAATAATAACAATAATAATAATAATAATAATAATAATAAAACACGTCAAAAGAAAGTTATTCAATCAGCATTAATTGATTGGAAAATGAAATCATCATCATCAGATATGAGTAATGATTCAACAACTACAACAAAACCTGTTATATTATCTGATTCTGTACAAGCTTTTTGGCCTCCACCACCTTCACCATTGACATTAGATAAAGATTCTGGATTAGCAACAATGACATCAACAACTACTGAGCAAGTAAGTCAATAAAAAAAACCCAAATCAAATTAAAACAAATAAATTTATCTTATTCTTTAATCGTTTCAGACTAAACAATCAGAATCAATACCCATACCAAATCATATTATTAGGTAAAAAGTCATTTTTATTTCTTCAATAAATATTGAATTTTATTGTATACAATTGATCAGAAACCTTACATGTTTTATATAGAGTATATAAGATGAATCTTTGTTTGTAGTTCGAATTCTCACAATGATTCAATAAATGTTAATCATATTAATATATTATCAACGAAGGAAGAAATTGGATCTTATTCTGAACAACATACATTTACTAATGGTTGTCTAAGAAATGGTATGTTTTATTGGCCTTGTATATATATATATTTCTTTTTCTCTTAATATATAAAAAAAAACGAAAGAAAATAGAATCTATTCAGACGTTTTACTTATCATCATGTAATTATCTCAATGATATTAATTGTTTTTGAAATGAAATATACCCTTGAGAGAAATGAAAAATTATTCGTCACCATTGTTCTTAATCATTTCTTTTCATATTTCAGTTAGTTGTTTTCTCTCTTATTTTTCCTTATACGGTCTATAATGTATGCAAATCGAATAATTTTATTTCATGTTGTAAATTATGATGCATATTATATTAATCAATATTGCAAACATTCAATATCTTATCGAATATATAATTCTACGACAATGTATATGTGTATGTTTGAAAAAGAAAAAAAAAACGAAAGAAATACGCGTTTATCTCTTTTTTTTCTTTCTTTAGCCAACTAAATCAGTTCTCTCTCATTTCTTTTTTTCTTCTTTTTTTTTTTTTTTTTGTATTCCTTTCTCTTTTGTGTGAGAATACATAGCATGAGAAGAACACATTTAATGAAGGCGTCATATTGGAGTATCGAAGTTTTATTCTTTATTCTTACTGTTTAAGCTTGATATGAGTAGATATTTTTTTAAATTTATATATATTAACATCATTATTTGACATATTCTATATGACTAGTTTATGTTTTATTATTTAGCAAGTGATACATCTTTAGAAGATACACCAGCATCATATACAGAACGTTTACGTGAAAAATCTCGTTCAATACCAATGAATCCAAATAATGATATGTGTTCTTATTTAGCACGATCAATATCAAAAGATGCTTTAAATGATTGTCATTTACGTCCAAATACACATTTAAATATCACAGAATTTCCTTTAACAAATGAAAATATTTTAAGACCAAAATCAGCTGGACAACAAAATCGTACAACATATATTATATCAAAACAACAAAGTGAAAATTCTGATCATGATTTTCAATCAAAACGAGATTTTTTTGAAAATCGTACATATACAGATAATACATCAATAAATTCATCTTTATCATCAATTCCAACAAATATATTACCAACAAAACCAAAAATATATACTTTATCTCCAGCAAATTCACAAATTAATAATAATAATAATAATAATAATAATAATAATAACGGTCTTTTACAACAGACAACAGTAAATAATACTCCTCAACGTAATGTAACAAGGTAAAAATGATTTCCTTCGATTTATTTTTCTTTTCATTGAAAGAAAAAAAAAAAAAGGACAAGGATAGATTGTTATAATACTATCGACATTTTCATTGTTTGCAAATAGATTAGTGAAAATATTAAGAGCCATTTATATAACAAAAAGACATTGATGATAATGATGATAATGATGATGATGACAGGTGGGAAAAAAGAGAAACTGTGCTGAGACATTAATCGACGTACAGCAGGAGATAATTTCATTGATAGCAAAAGATACAACATAGGATTCAACATGTTTTATTAATCTTTTCTCGATATACAGCCCTTGTATTCATACAAACGTGTTAAGAATTCTTGTTTTTGCCAAGGATATGTACTCATTGTCATCATATTAGTTGTATTAAAAGATATGCTAGAATAAGTAAAACAAATAAACACAGACTTTAATTAACCGATAAAATGATTTTTTTTTTAAAGAGCTCTTTTTTATTTACAAAATATGAAAAATTTACATAAAATTTTCTTTTTCATTTTGTGAACTTTCAAAATTTTGTATGTTAAGACGTTCATGGAATGATTTATCATCCAGACAATTGCCACCATCACCATCGTCTCCTTCCGGTAATCTATATTTTGATTCAACATCCAATCAAATATCATTTCCTCCTCCACCAACTATTCGAAAACCAGTTCGAATTGTTAAAGCCGTACAACGATCATCACCTCCAATAAATGAATTAATTACCACAAATCGTCCATTAGCAACATCAAAAACATATTCACTTGCTAAACCCGGTCTTTTTGCAGCTTCTCCATTAAATTCCTATCAAAAATTACCTAATAAAATTTCACATTCAATTCGACGTTTTCAATCTCGTGATGAAAATGATTTACAATTTAATTTAAAAGAATTTGCTTTACGCTATCCACATAATCATTCATTAAATGAATCAGAACGTTTAACATTATCAAATGAACATCATATTAGTACAGATTATACACGTGCATTATTTCCTATACCTGATCGTTTAAAACGTATACGTTCAAGACAAAGTTCAGGTGGTGATACAAGTTCTATAACAACTTCGAGTAATTCATCATCAGATTATATTCATCGAACAGTATCGAATGATAGTTGTATTTTTGATGATGATACTCTTCGACAAGCGGTAAAAAAAATGAAAAAAAAAATATATTTTTTTTTCTTTTAATTATATATTTTTTCTTTTTATTATTTTAGGAAGATTTATTAATTAATTTAAGAAAACGTCGACAAATTCTAAAAGAAAATCAACGAACAATTAACGAAGAAATTGAAGATAATAAAATTCTTGGTGCTAAAGTATTACTAGAAAAATAACTTAATAATTGATTGTATACATTACTTTATTTTTTTTAGTTATTAAATATAATTGAATCCAATGCTGAATCAAATGAAATCGAAAAATTCAAATTACATATTAATGAAATCGATACAATAACATCAATCCTTCTGAAACTAAGTAGTCGATTAGCTAAAGTTGAAAATGATTTATTGATACTTTCCGATAGTAATGAGCACACAAAGGTAAAACTTAATAAATAACGTAATAGAAAAAACGTTTATAGTTTTCATGCAATTAGCTCAAATCTAGACAGTGATTTTAATGGTCAATGAAATTTTCTATCTAATGTGTTCTATAGGAAGATTTCCTATAATGGCAAAGTTTATCAAAAAAAAAATTGAATACAGTAATTTTCAAATAATGCTATTTTAAAAAACATAAGATGACGGATCGCTAAATATTCTATGATCTTCCCTTAAAAAATTAAAAATATCACAAAAAACGAAATTTATCAGCAAATTGATTAAAAACAAACTTTTCTTCGGTTTTTCCAATGCTTTTAACTTTTTAAGAAAAAGTCATAGAGAATGTGGCGATCCCTTATTTTGAACTCTTTAAAGCGGCATAGTTAAAAAAAAATAGTCTTCTGAGATCTGACAACTACTGTGTCTGGTTTTATAGAAATCTTGCCATGATAGTTCATTGATAACGTCTTACTGTCGAATACATCAGATGAAAAGTCCATTGGCTATTAAAATCGTTATTTGGTAGAGTCCATCGGATCTGGATCCGAAAGTTTTAAAGCCCATGGATTTTAGTCATCGAAGAAATATATAGAATGCACTAATCATCAAATATATAAACCGGAAAAAAGTATTTCGTAACTTTGGAGCAACTATCCGATTAGAAAATTTTATTGAGCGTATCAAACTACGGTTCAAAAACAGTTTGAATCCAATGGGTTCCATTATCTGAATTTGAGCCAGATGCTTAATATTACAGACAAAAAAAAACATAAATACGTTCTTGTGAACATTGTTTTTTCACGGCCTTCTATTATTAATTTAATCACATAGTATTATTTTTTATTTATTAAGGCAAGTTTAATTGAACGACGTGAAAAAGCTCAACAAAAACATGATGAAGCTAAATCATTGAAAGATGGTATTGATCGTCGCAGTCGTTTAGTAACAAATATCCTTCGAAAATATCTTTCTAATGAACAATATGATGATTATGAACATTTTATAAGAATGAAATCAACATTATTAATGGATGCAAAAGAAATTGAAGAAAATATATTAATTATAGAAAAACAAATTGACATTTTAACTCAAATATCAACATCAGATTGTCAAAATTTACAAACATCGAATAATGCCGAAAGTTTACAAACGAATTCTTTTAAAGCTATATCGAGCACGGCCTAGTCGTCTGTTTTTTTTTGTTTTTGTCTTTTATTAATAAACATTTATTTTTTCAAGTCGATAAAATTCATAATTATGTTTATTTGTCTTTATATACTTTAGATAAACATATATATAACAAAATAGATATTTGTGTTTGTGTCATCTTTTCTTATTGCGCTGTTTTGTTTTTTTTTTCTCGATGTTGACCGGTTCTCCTTTTTTGTCGATGTTGTACGTAAAGAGAAGAAAAAAAGAAATTAATGTGAATAGAATTGACAGATTTCTTTAATAGCATATTGCATATGATTGAAATGATGCAAATATCAAGGATTTAAAAAGTATATGATTGAGTCATAGCTATGGAAGATGGGACGACAGATAGATGACTAATAAAAAAAAAGATATTACATATATTTCTGAAATCTTTCTTTAAGGAGTTTCAAATAATACATGACAACTCGTGTAAATAGAAAAAACTCCAAATTCAGATCATATTTATGAAATGAGAAAATTACTCTTTAGATAGGCACATCACATGATGACTTATATGAGAATAATGAAGATTTGTTTTTTTTTTTCTTAAATGAATAGATAAAGAAAAGAGAAAAGGCAGTTAATCAAGAAAGAAAAGATGAATTTAGTCACGTTCTATTTGAAGTATCTGTTAGGATGAAACATGCCAGTTAGTTGTTAGTTAAAAAGAAATGACAAAGAGATGTGTCATTTGCAGTTTATCTGAATTATTTATGAAATAGAATTTCTCAGTCTCGAGCATGAATGTACGTCTAAATGCATTGAGTGGGTTTAGAATTGGACTTTTAGTGTAATACTAATAAATGCTTAAGAATTAGTAACATTTCATTGTCCAAAGAATTTCATTTGAAAGGAATGTTCTACGTGAAAAAATGTCTTTTCTATAGTGCAATAATGACTAATGTGTTGTTCTAAAGTGACTATCTATAATTAAGACTATTAGTCAGAGAAATATTAAAATTCAAAGTCAAGAAAATAATAAATGAAATTTGATACACGCAATCCTCTCCATTTTTGAGCACAAATTTTAAAAAAAATCATGTTTTTACTACTGTTATTCATTTTGTACGATTCAATATTTCACAAAACAAAACTGTGAAAAGGTTATAAAATGAAAAAAAAAGGTATTTGATGCATATAGCAATTTTAAAATGTTATATTCAATAAATTGATAAATATATTTCACTTTGCTCTACTGATCAGTATTTAATGATGTTGTATTCATTTGAGAGCTCAAGATAAGCAGGACAAAAACGATGCAATTTTATTTCAACTACTCACATTAGACGATAGAGTCAATCACGAAAAAAAAAAGTTCAGCTTAATGCAACAACTCTACTTCAATGAGAATTATATCTTATTATATATTTTAAAGCAGACTATCACATTTTGTCGACTATCATCTGCAGAAAACTTAGTGAAACCCCAAGAACTCCCTGAAAAGTCCGTAGGGAGTCTCCGATTTTCAAGGAATATGAATAAAGACAAAAACTTCCTGAGATATTTCTGGAGAATCGCCAAGGGGCTTATGGCGGAGTGCATTACTTATATACTTCAAATTTAGTAACCAATTTAAAAAAAAATTAATCTAACGAAAATATATGGTGTTCGTTTGATGCAGAACTATCATTATTGCAACGTCAATAAGTACGTATCACCTTAGAAAAATCCATTCTATTTTTGCTATTTAAATTAATTTTAACAAAAATTTCGATAGGAGATATTATTTTTAAAATATAACTCATATTTTTCTTTATTCAAAATACCCTTAAAATCAACTGCAAGCTGACGAAAGTTGCATATGAATACAATGATATATGACATCGTATACGACCCTTTATAATATTCATGATTCTCATTTTGTTTTTTTAAGGAACTCCTGAAAATTGTCCCAGAGATTCTTTGAGGGAGAATTGATTTAGAATGAATTAATATAATTAATATATCAGATTCGCCTTATTAAAAACAGTACTTCAATTTTTCTACATATTTATTTTAATCAAGTAGCAATAAATCTATTACAAGTTGTTTGATCATCTCAGTTCTTAAACATAAACATTCAATAACATCACTTGTACATCATCTCTTTTTTTCTATTATTATTGCAACATCATATACATCACTACTCCAGCAATATATTCTTGAGTCCTGTAATCATGCGTGAATACATGTGTTCTTATTTTTCGAGAAAGTATAGATACTAGTACTTCATTTGTTATTCTTGAATTGAAATAAAATGACGATTTAAAAACTTCTTTAGGTATTTAAACAAATGAAGGATTAGTGGAAGTAAAGCCATCTGTAAGAGATACAGGAGAATAAATATGACCATTGAAATGAATAATTAGAAAGAATAATCAAGATAGAACCTATTTTAGTTTGATTTGGTTTTGATGCTTTCATTAGAACTGTTGGTGGACTATTTCATGCACAATATCGTGTCACTTCTTAATAGAATGGGATGGAAGGACCTACGACTAGTACACTTGAAAAATCACTTGATAGTACTCATGGAGATGAACATCCTGATTAAAAGAAAAAAGAACAATTAGAATTCATTAACAAAAAAAATTTCTTTGAAACTAAATCATGTACAAATTTTTATTTAGAAATTATTGATGTTGATGTAACATGGTGAGAAACAACAATAGTTGAATATAAAGAAGTGATTGATAAGTTGAAAGCGCAGGCTCTAGATGATATCGACTAAGATCTATTGAATTCAAAATAACATTACTGTTCTTTCATCGTCTGGCATTTACTTAGATATCAATTCAATTGTTAGTGTTATATTAAAATCATTAGTTGAATTTTCTGGTGATGACCAATTAGCATCAAACCGGGCTACGAACGATTGTTCAGCAAGAAGTTGAACTCGAAATTTTTGTAGAATACATAAGCTTTGTTTTTATTGCTGCTGCTATTGCTCTTGCTATGATGTATGAATATCAACTCTGTGAAATGGATTTTGTGCTTTGAGAATACAAGTCCATTTATTCATTAGTAAAATATATTAATTTTCTCTTTATAAATTTTTTTTTGAATAAGCAAGTGCTGCTCTTATACTATCTTTATTAGCTAATAATTGTTCAAATAAAGGTAAACGTCGACTAATCGATGGTTTATCCATAGATATGTATAGTAACTGTTGTCTTTTGTTGTTGTTGTATATTATCATAATTCAATCAACGTTTAAGAACAAATAGTTTTTTAATTAATGCTTTTTCTCACTCTGAAAACATTTCTTTTTGTTTATCCATGTAGTCAAAAACCGAGAAAAAAACCGGCGATTTACCGCTAAAAATGATCTGATTTTTGTGACATGGGTATATTTACTAGACCAAATTATATGGTATTGTTCGAATGGTATGGGTATCGATGTGGATACAGACATGCAACAGACGCAAAACCATACACCCTTAGATATCGATTACTATCTATATTATTAATTGGTTTTTTCTGCAGAAGATTCTATCTAGCCTAAAATGTTTCTCGATGATGTCATCAAGTTGAATAGACGCATACGATGACTCTCAAATGGTATCACTTTTTCATCATATGTGACCATTAGAGGATGATCCGACAATTGAGCTCTCGATACTTGAGCATTTATTGATTAATTACAAAAGAAATTCAATCGCTATTCAATAATTTTGTTCAATACAAGTTTAGCAGACAGAAGCATGCAACATTTTTCTGTAAGATCGATAAGCCCCTATTATACTCCTCCATAGCCAAATCAGTCATTTCTACGAAAGCGAGTAAGATTTGCAAATTATTTTTATTTTTGTTATCCAGTTTCCATTACTGTTCTATCTTTGCGATTTTTTAAAACAGTATCAATTGTGATATCCGTAAAAAGCAAGTACCAATCTCTACTTGATGGCTTTGCTTATCTCTAAGGAGTGTGATTATGATTGCAATGGAATGTAGATATTCTGTTCACATACAGCAACGCACAAATCCTGATGCTCTTGGTTTTTATTAAGATGATTCGTTCAGTTATAGAGAAATATACTAGCGAGTCATTAATACTGTAGGAATATGGTGCCAGTTTGTGCGTACTACAGATGGATACAGAACAGAACAAAACTATAATTTATACCTTATCCTACCGCTCACCAGGACAGGGTCAGATAGCAAGTGGGAAAAAAAATTTGTACTATGTCCATCTCTATTGTGCACTACTTCTGAGTTCAACAAAGTTATTGAATATTGATTTAATTTCTTTCGTAATCAATCAATAAAGGCTTAAGTGTCGGGAGCTCAACTGTCGGCGTACCCCATTAGAGAAATTTACATTATCTCTTGTTGTTCGAGTTTGAACTTCATTCATCAATGAAGTACAGTTGAATAACGATATCTTTTCTAAAATGTTACATCTACATCTGTTGATCTTCGATATCGTCACTGGAAACCCCATTTTTCCCCAAGCCATATCATCATCTTCTTCTGATGTAGGTGAAGTTAGCACTCGATTCGAGTAATTCCGATGGCGATTCGTTCACAAGCCTGTTCCAAGTACAACTCGACGAGCTCTATTCATTGGTATGCTCAGATGTTCCATAGTCCAAATTATAATTTTTAGAACCATAGATGGGGTTATGGCAAACGTGAAAATCATAGTATGAGTTATAAAAATCTGAGCATACCAATGGATAGAGCTCGTCGAGTTGTACTTGGAACACATATTGAAACAAGCTCCTCAACGAATCGTTGGTAGAATTACTCGAATTCGCTGATAACTTCATCTAAGTCTTCTTCTAATATTCGATGTACATTCATTCAAAGAGAGTTTCATATTAATTACTATATCGATTATTATTCACAAGAACTAAATCTGTGTCATATTTATTAGCTTCTATTTACTATGAAACGTATGCACAATATAATTAACAGTTTTTCCGGTGGCTTATTTATGAGTGTTTGTAGACTGTATTTAAATGATTTGTTTGTTCTATTCGAACATGATTGCTTTGTTAAAATAC